ACCTAGATAATCCACTAGTTTGACGATTAATTTCTTTGATATATGTAACACCCCATTCCACACATCACATGATACACATATTTCATACATAAGAAATACATGTTTATACACCACGTTGGTCCCTTAGTACAAGAATCTATTAGTACAGGATACATGGTCCAAAAATTCAAAATACAATTCTTGCACTAATCCAGTTTCATCTATCAAAACTATACATATCATCAGTAAATCTTCACGCAAATAATCACATAGGGAAAATATTACATTTTTCCCTTCCCCTTACCGTCAGCACTTCCTACAATACATATTTAAAATCACAAAACGAGGGTTAGACCGAAAGGTCTAGTGAGTTACCCTATCTATGTTATTGCAGGGTGAAAATCACCAAAACTTTTATGTAAAACAACTTTTCATATATATATATCAGATATATGAACAAGTAAGAACATAATACTAGTACCTTATACTTTTCATGCCAAACTCTCTGCTTGCAAATAATACATCAAATCCAAACAGGTTTACACTAACCAAATTACCATAATGCCACTTTCAAACATTTCAAATTAAATAAGGTTTATTCAAAGTTCCAGGCCAAACCTATTATCTCCTTCTCTATAACATTCAGACTATGAATTCCAATAAGAACCCTGATTCTAAACCTTTAAATCACAAAGAAATAAAGATTCCAGACCACGTTAATCTTAAGAGATATGATAGTAGGAGTTATATTATATAACACACACATACAAATGCCACCTGTTGGTCCCGAAAGGGTCTACAAGATAAGAAACAGTTTGTAGAAGGGGGGGATGAATACAAACACAAAGTTTTCAAATTTAAAATATATATTGATAGAGAAGATCAATACAGATTTTACACGATTGTTTGCGGAAAGATAAGGTATAGGAAACCTATCTAAACAACCTTTGGTTACACACAGAGCTTTAACAAATACAAGAAAAGAGAATGCTAAAAGAAATATCTTTTACTTAAGTTAGAAGAAACTTGAAGTAAGAATATGGTAAGAGAGTGATCCGCGCACTCTGCATGGAGAAGAAACACTTCTATTTATACCCAGTGCATTAAATGAACATTTAATGCAGTAAGGTAGGGTTTAGAGTGCGTGTCAAGCCTTAAGATGAAGGCTTGTCCTTTGCTACAGTGAATAGTACAAAAGCACTATT